TGATAGGTGAAATATCAAATTTACAATATTTAAGAATCTATACCACAAGTGATAGGTGAAGTGCCACATTCATGTTAAATAAGGTTCTAAACCAAAGCAGAGAAGACATTTCATAGTCCAAGCGCCTAAGACAATGGGCCGTTGTTTTTAAGATGACATCTTATAAAATCTTTGAATTATTTAATACATTGGCTCGATCTACCAATTCATTATAACTAATGCTTTAAAAGAGACACTTCTGTTTCTTGAAAAGACTCGACATTCACACTTGCAACTTTTATAGACTGGTATAACGCTGAGAAAATGACTTAGTGTATGTGTACATTTTCAGAAAGCTTTTTTGTCTGATATACATGTACATGTAATGACATCTAACCTTGATATGATATCAGCCCAGAAATAATGATCAATCAATTGCTCGCATAGTAAGTTGTATAAACCCTTAAATGCGTTCTTATCCATAAAATTATCACTCGTGCAAACTGATTGATCATCACCATTAAAAACTTTTTTTCTTTTCACTTAAACCGTGATTCAATAAAAATATTTCTGCAATAATGAGAGATATCTGCAGGAACCACTCAATGTATCACTAAGCAATAAAGAGAGCATGGAATTCTGTCACGTGCTGAGCAAATTGCTTTAAGAGAGTATAAAGCCATTACCTTATTTTAACTTGATCTCGGACAAGAACATTTGAAAACATAAATATTCTTTAATTATTAAAGTTCACTTGACTACGAATATCTGCTAGTAGTACCGGCAGTTGTTGCGTATAATGAATGATGATGCGTTCTCTCTACTTTCCCTTTAATTTGGACTTTGTTTTAACTTTAATGTTATCTTCCGATTGCTTATTCTAAGAATTTTATAAAATTGTAGTATTCTTTTATTCTTTTTATTTAAATATTTTGGATTCCCAACCTTTCGCCTTGAGCATCACTGAAGAGGCATAATTTGTCGAAATGCACATCTGGTGCATCAAAATTGGTACTGTGTATGATTTACATTATGACTCCTGGGTTGAGGCCTCTGCTAGTGGACAGTTAGTCCCCGAGGGTCTCTACAGCCCAGTAACCACGTACTTCGGTACTAGCTTGAAAATACGGATATTTAATCGCTGTAGTAATATTTAGAAATTTATTTCAAAAGTAAGGATTATCTCCCTCATGCATAGCTCTGATGCTTCGACGTATTTGGCTCCAGTCTTTGGCACCTTTTTCCAGCTCTTACAATTCTTTTTATTTAAATATTTTGGATTCCCAACCTTTCGGCTGGGGCATCACTTAAAGGACATAATTTGTCGAAATGCGCATCTGGTGCATTAAAATTGGTACGATATACAGTGTATGATTTACAGTAAGAAAATTGATCTGAAAAACTATTAATGAAATCGACTTTAGATAACTACTGTAGTTTTTTAACATTTGGTTGTGTATTCTATGTAGAGCTTTTTACAGACAATCAAGTATCTTTACATCGCTAAATATCTTTCATACCAAAATATTATTATACATGTACAATTTAGAAATGCGCTAAATCAAATATTTGCTTACATTGGAAAAACAAATTCCCGCCAAATATCCTACACGTAAAATAAATTACATTTACAGTATTATCTGGTATTTATGGTGTTGTACTTATGTTGATGAAAAAGATGACGATAACTATGGAACAGATTTATTTTTTTTACCTCCTAAGTACAAAAGTTAAAGAAAACATATACAAGGAACTACCTTACTTGTATATACATTGGCAAAAACTGAGAGCATTGGTTCATATACATGTAAGCTCAAATCAGTATAATAAACGGAGTCTCATTACTTTAACATTTGGTGCAACGTGTCTTTGAATAAATGCTTGACATATAGAATTTAACAGATCCATGTTCATTAAGGATATCACTGCAATTAATGGACTATTTCAGCGTATTCGCTTAAAGAAGCCTCATTGAATTTTCTAGCAGATTACTATGTTCTCTTAAAATGATGGAACACAGAACCAACAGCTTCAAAGTAGGGCACGAAGCAGCAATTCATACAATTAGCGTACAACCTCTGACAAAGTCCACAGTTGATTTCGCAAACCTTCAAGCATGGACTGATGCACCACACGTGAGAGAAGGAGATAATGGCAAACTCACAGCCCCACTCCGCGGCTATGAAGCATCCAAGGTAAAATGTCAGGAGCTTGTAGAGGCAGCCTTTCCACAAGTTAAAGCAGGTGTGTGAAAGCTTGTAGGCGCAGTCAATACTGTGTGTCCCATCTGGCTCTCCAATCACATCGTTGAAATGGAGGGTCTAAAATGAATATGAAAAGAAAATACAATTTGCATGTCAGTTATTGGTTTTAAAATAACAAATATTAAAATATATTTTAATTCAATTTAGAGACAATATATACATGTTATGTTTTTTCCAATATATTGTTAAAATGAATAATTCAAGGTTCTTTTAATATGAAACCATTTAAATGCATGAGATCTCAAAAACTAGGGTTACGAGACACCAAGAGACATTAAATAATGTTCATTTGTGTGACTCTTTTATTACTGAAACGGACCGGAGTGTCAAAATTGATAACTGAAATTACCCCAAACTCTTTATTTATATAGTAATTTTCAAAACAAAGATTTCGTTTTCAAGAGCAATCAATGGATAGCCAACATTCTCTTCACTGCTCTTTTTGAATAATGGGTACAGGGTGATTAAGAAAATACATGTAATATTTCACAAAAATGTAAAATAATTTTTGAATTCTAAAGCAAAGTTCAAGAGCTCTTCAGATAGATAATACATGTACTGTTCTGTCTAAACATCACTGAAATTGATAGTTTTCAAAGACACATAAGTATTCTTTATCTCTTTAATTATTTCAATTTTTGAGAATTTTTTTGTCGTTTTAAATAGTTAAAAAAATTGAATGAATATGAAAAAAAGAATTATAACATTTAGAAGAAAAAATCCCATGCAGATACAAATTCATAGTTTTGAGTATTTGGTAAACTCATACTTAAGGTATGTGTTTAATGTTTCGATGTCTTACCCCAAGATGAGAATTCAGTCCATTTGGATCCCTGTTGACTATATCTACCTCTTCTGCTCCCGACATTGTTTATTAAAATTTTTACCAGAAATGATTTTCAGAATTTAACTTACGACCTTAAGTAGTCAAAATTTTGTGAATTTGTTTGTTAGATACGTGGGTAACAGATTAAAGATTAAAGAGTGGATTAACTATGTCACAATCAAGATTTTTTTAATGTCAAGCTATTATAAAGCACCTCTTGTAGTCAAGCTTTTATAGGTAGAGAAATAAAATCCCTCATTTTTCTAACATGTTTTAATAAAGGATTTATAGCTGAATGGCTATGACATTGTTTATAAACATATACTCTGAGTTACAATTATATATGGATGTCTCAAAACAAAAACATATTATTTATTTGATAATTAAACATATTTTGTACTACAGTTCACTTTAACACTACATTGATATGATTTATATATTCTATCATTCATATGCTTGAGAGTGCATTTTCTAAATTGAGGGTTTCAATGTTTATTTATTATGTATAATTGTGCTTCTTCATTTAAAAAAACACGAAACAAGATGTTCAGTGATTTTGAATTGATTTGAAACGACATATTTCCACATCTGCTTATTGTACTGTGAAAAAAAGTCAGGATATAGAATAGTGATCGATCTAAAAAAAATCCATAAACAAATGTATACAAATCTGTGAAGAGGGCGTAAAATACGGACCCATGGAAATTTCAGAGGTGGGATCAGGTGTCTAGGAGGAATAAGCATCCCCTGTTGACCAGTCACACCCGCCGTGAGCCCTATGTATTGATCAGGTAGACAAATGATGCACAAGCTGATACACAATTTTATCTTTAATATTTTTAACTCTTTGAATTTTCTCATTGCTTGTACAATATTTTTTAGTTTTCCTATTGTAATTCTATTCAAGTATAGACATACCCCAAGATGAGCATTTACTCCGTTTGGATCTCGATCCACAAGATCTACCTTTTCTGCGCCAGACATGTTGTGTAAATCTTGCTTTTATTTGAATGTTATACACCAAGTGGGACAGTGAATCAGGTTCTCATTAGTGGCGGATTATGCAGTCTACTTGTAGAACATTTAGACATGAGGACGGGTTACTTAGAAAATACATTGTTCGATTTAATTCGCATCGATATTCAAACAAGTTCCATCTTGAGCATTATGATACAAGATATGGAGAGGCCTTGCTTATTTCGGATTTTCATTACATTCTAAGTATATCTGAGCTGTTAATTATATTGATTACAGACCACGTGAAGCTTTGTTTTATTAATGAACTGAACATTTGAAAGATGGATTATTCAAACAGAGTGAATATCTCGTCAATAATTATAATAGCTTGTTATGCTTACTACTTCTACTTGACATACAAATAAATTCACATATTGAGTAATTTGATTTAGTACTGAAGAAACACTGCAACTTTTGTCTCGTCTTGCAAATGTAAATTAGTACATTTTTGTCTATGAAACTTAAAATCATGCTTTTTCAATATGATTTAATATATGCATTAGCGATAATAGCGAGATACAGGACCTGTACACTATTATTGTGAATGAATAATTCCCCCAAATTGGTTTTATATCTGTACTAATTATTGTTCGAGCATCTTTTTTATCAGATATATCAACAAGTTCTCCTAATGCATTGCGGAACAAAAATACCTTTAACATTATTTTTCTAAAAAAATAAATTACAATGTTCCTCTTTTCTTCATTTATTGAAAGATAGAATAACTTAAAAATTATACATGTATAAGGTTTACACGGCAATTTTTACTACAAGATCCCGAAATGAAATAAAAATTTAATACCTGTGGTTATAGACCTGTGCAAATTTGTAATAGCATAGTTAATTGAATTCACAACATTTACAACATAAGATACACTAAAAATGCAAGACTCCCATTCAACATTATGAACCTAAAAGTTCATTATGTTCTTTTAAAGTGATGGAACACAGAACCAACAGCCTCACAGTAGGGCACGAAGCAGCAATTCATACAGTTGGCGTACAACCTCTGACAAAGTCCACAGTTGATTTCGCAAATCTTCAAGCATGGACTGATGAACCACACATGGGAGAAGGAGATAATGGCAAACTCACAGCCCCACTCCGCGGCTATGAAGCATCCAAGGTAAAATGTCAGGAGCTTGTAGAGGCAGCCTTTCCACAAGTTAAAGCAGGTGTGTGAAAGCTTGTAGGCACAGTCAATACTGTGTGTCCCATCTGGTTCTCCAATCACATCGTTGAAATGGAGGGTCTATAAAACAAACAGTACATATAAATCTTTAGCGTAGAACAAATCAAATGAAAATGAAGAATCCCTCGTTTTTGCCTTTCATGTATCTTTCTTTCAAGGGTGAAATCGGTATCCGAATACTTAGATCTGCTCCAGTTTTTATTTCACACTTATATAGACTGTACCTTTGGAAGAAATAATTGTTACATATAAAGTCCATGTATGTTTATCGCTGTTACTGAATGATATTGCATATATTTATGGCTGGTAGATGGTAAAAGTAATATATAATTAAAATATCATTATAACTTAAGATTGTTCATAAATCGAGTAGTTTTTATTATGTACTCAATGTATGAGAAAGAATTGCGTTACATTTGTAGAAACATGAAGAATGTAGCTTGTGGGTCGAAATTTTAGATTCTCTTTAGATAAATGAGACGTTTTATAAAATCCAGATATAAACTTTCCAACAAAAAGCTCGATCTAAGCTGATTTTCTTCTAAATAATGATTAAACGGATTGTGACGCTTTTTGTCGATTGTACCTGAATTATTTTAAGCAGATCGTTAAATCATTGCAATAATGAACTGACCGAATGACCGTGGTTCGCATGATTTTACATAATAGGAATTTTATTTAACAAAACTGTTTGACATGCTAGTAAAAGATTAAAAAACTCGTTAAATAACAGAGTTTTTAGTCTACAGTTTCGTATTGTAAGCCAACTGGTGCTCTGATCGAGAGCGAGGAATTAACCTTTTTATAACCTATGCGTCGTCAAAAGAATAAAATATTAGCTACACGACCATACATAAGAAGGTAATTTTGTTTAAATAAACTGAAAAGGTATAGTCATTTTTTCTCACTCATCATATCAAATTGATACAGAAATACAGACGAACATGCAAATCTTTCATCGGGGTATTTACAGAAGCAAGGCCCAAGATCTTATAAGTAAAACCTAAATTTTATTTTATTTTCTTCGATCTAGCAGACTTGATAGAACTGTTAAAAAAAACAACTCTTCTTTATTTTTTCAAAATTTCTGGACGAAAAATGTAACGTCATTTTCAAATTGATCTAAGGTGGAAATAATTTATAAGCAATATACTATTTGGTCTTTGTGAGAAGTCCTTTGGTATTAGTCCCAAGTCATATTGTTAAACAGCCCCCCTTTAAGAAATAAGTTAGTAAGAAGCCTAAAAATGTACAAAGTTCTACACGTTTAACTAATTTTGGGAAATTCTTCTGATGTGAAATTACATTGATAAGTATTTAGAAAGACTACATGAATAAAATGTTATGGTTCCAGCTAAAAAGGTTTTTAACAGTCAGTAACACCAAAACTTACTACTTTTCATACACTTTATAGAACCATTGATATTCCTCACGAGACAACTGCTCTTCAATAAAAAATGGAAGTCGGATATTTTCAAGTCTTTTGATAGGTCATCTTCAAAATTACATTGTAAAATATCACTCTGATTCTACAAATAAGTACTCTTAGGTTGACATTAAAAATTCAAAACTTCTCATGCTTCTCATGGCAACAACTGTATAGTCTTTGGAGACAAGGTCGTCCAACAAACTGTTGGAACTCTGATGGGCATTAATTTTGCTCCTTTATTAGCCAACCTGTTTTAATATTCCTATGAAGCAGAATTTATTCACAAACTTCCTCACGAGAAGAAGTAAACGCTTAATGTGACCTTCAACTCTATATTCAGACATATCGACGACGTTTTATCAATTGAGAATTGTTCATTCCATTCAATTGCCGACCCGATATATCTCATTGAACTCGAAATAAAAGACACCATGTACTGTCTGCTACATCTGCATTATATTAGGATATTTCATTGACTATAGGCGATAAAGGTCAACTAGCAACTAAACTGTAAACAAACGAGATGACTTTAGCTTTTCTATCGTTAACTTTCCTTATTTATGTTGTCATATTCCACTGTCACCTACATATTCTATTCACAAGGACTTTATTTCGTGTCTCCCAACTTATTCAAAACTCAAGAGCATGTTCTGAGAGTGATCAATTTTTAAACCGAGGCATGCTACTGGCAAATTAGTTGATGTCACAGGGATTTCAACAACCTCGTTTGCAATATTAAGTAATTCTTAAATTCTTTGGTCCTTATGATAAACTTGTGAGCAAATATAACCTATCGTAGGGTCGTATTTTTACATATGTAGATGTATTTCATATCAATCGTTAAAAAAATCAGTTTATACTAAATTTGACGAATTATTCCGCCTTTTTGATCAATACATAGAGCTAGCTGTGGGTGTGACCGGTCAACATGGGATGCTAACTCCTCCTAGGCACCTGGTCCCATCTCTGGAATTTTCCAGGGGTCCGTGTTTTATGCCCTGTTCACAGATTTATATTCATTGTCGCTTTTTTTTTTTTAGATTGACCACTGTTCGTTATCTTTACTTTTTTCATTCTTTATACTCACATTATAATAACACTTCGATCTTTTTTTAAAAAAAAAAATAGAATAAATTATATTAATAGCAATGTTTTCTTCATAGTCGTAAGTTCTTTGTAAATCGTGGCCCAGGTTTTACGTGGTTTTTAAGTAAAAGATGTTACGTAATTCATTTTCGATTTATGTGCTTTTGTTGAAAATATTTCAAGATGTCACCTGTGTAAAAGATGAAATAAATGTGTGATTGTGATCTTGTAGTATGGTTATAATATATTCATAATCAGGAGGGTTGCTGCTCGATATATTGTAAATGCGTCCACTGTTTATTTACTCAGATTTACTTGAAAATGAAATTACCAGAAGAATACCAAATTTTTAGATCCTTTTTGATATTACTGATGAATTTCTATCAAAAATTGTAACAGAAAACAAATCTTTAAAGTGAAAACCACATTAAATGACATTTTACAGAATTGAAAAAATGTTTTTCTTCTTAATACTATTGCGCTCTGTGATCGGAAGGTCGTGAGTTTGAATCACGCCCGCGAATGACCTAAATCATATAGGTAGGAACTGTTCCTTCGCCAAGTGCTCGGCACATTGAAGTGAAAGTTGCGGGTCCTTCGGATGAGACCTTAAAAACCGAGGCCTCGTTTCACGGTAGGCGTTGGCACGATAAAGAAATCTCACTGCTCAATGGCCCTAAGTGCCGAGTAAAGGTATAAATTTGAAGCCCTTCATCGGTATATGGTGACGTCTCTATATGAGTGAAAAATTCTCGAACGGGACATAAAACAACATACAATCAATCAATCAATCTTAATACTGTTGGCACTTGATCACCATCTCTTGATTCTGACATTACAATGAGGATAGATCACTTATAACACAAAGTGTGTTAAATATAAAATAAACCAGAAGAGTAAAATATACAATGCATGAACTTTTAGTTGTTGTCAATATTACTAAATTTCCAAAACTGTTGTCTAATAGATGTTTTATTGAGTTCAAATGATTATTTTAAGAAATGATACACAATTTCACCGGTCGTAAACGGAATATTTTCCTCTAGAGAGAATAGCCCAGTTAAGTATTTATTTATATGGTTTACATATATTTCAATGATATTCGCAGATATATGATAAACAAATCGAGCTTCTGGTGCTCCAAAGTTTATTTATTGTTCATTTATGGCCAGTGACACTAATTTGTGAACAACTATGGAACTACAGACACCTACAGTACTTGTGCAGCCGTTTTTCACCCTTTGTCTAATTCATTATTAGTTTAAAGCTTTCAGTTCTTTTCATTTCTCAGCCTTTTGTTATGCTGATGTTGCATGAAAAAGCTGATACTTTTGAAAATGTGATGATGCAAATATCTGAAGTGATTGTTCATCAACGAATCCAACTAAGCTTTCGCTTTTGATGCATGTGTAATCGTGAGATTGAGATGATGGATTTGCTGAATGCCTGTTATTGGGAAAGAAGTCTACATACCCCGAGATGAGCATTAAGGTTGTTGGGATCTCTGTTTACAAGGTCTACTTCCTCTGCTCCAGACATTGTGCTCTGAGATTTAACGCTTTTCACACTCCGCGGAGAATCAGGACTGTTACATGAACTGACGTCGCTTAAGTGTGACATAGTATTAAAACTAGCGTCGCTAGGATATACAAACAGAAACTGGGCAACAAAGGGATAGTCTTTCAGATTAATTAAGCAATGTTTTGTTGATTGCTAATCTATTTAATACTCGATTAACTCCGATTACTTTAAGCATTCAATGTGAAGTGGTAACGATAAAACATTAAATATTATTGTAGTTGCTTGCGTAAAAATGTTGGCAAACAGATTCCTAACAAGGAAAAGAAACTGGTCCTTTTTTATGTTTATCTCACTAACTCATAGGTTCAAGAAAGGCTCTATCATCTGATTGAAAACTTTTCTAATTTCTTCTTTGGGATCATCATTTATAATATATTTGTGGTTTTTTTTTCATATATGTCCAATGAGTACTAAAATTGATGCAACTCATTCTTGGCATCAATGCTTCTTAGCACACTTTTTCCAACTATCATTAATCAGAACTTTTAAAAAAAATCACTTACTTGAAAATATCAGCATTTTGTGAATTGGCTTTTGGCAGTAATTACAGCAAGAAATTGTCTTGGAATTATTTGATGTAAGTTTCCGCTGTAAGGATCACTTAGAAGGAACCAAATTCTCAAAACTTCAGTGATTAAACCATCTTTGGATTTAAGTGCTCCCGGTGGATTTCTTAGTTGAATATTTAGAATTCTCCAAACATTTTCGATGATGTTGATGGTTGATACAGGTACATTGTAACTGTGATGGCTATTCAGGACAATCTAAATCATTTTCATTCAAGGCTGTTGTTAATTGTGAAGAATGACAGTAAACATTGCCGTCCGGGAACGAAAATATTCCAAAATATTTTGCAATAAATGTTCTTCAAGAGTCTGCATATACTTATATGTACCAGAGTCCATATTTCCAGTTAATGGTACTAATTTCCCCATTCCTGGATATGTCACATATCCCAATGACATAGAACTTGTCCTCTCATTACATCCATGTTGACTAGCACACTGTGGATGTCATATACAGATGATTATCCGAGTTTCATCAGAAAAAAAGACCTTTCTCCAATAGCCATCTACTTAACGATTTTTCATACATTTACACTACTATATATATACACGAAGTTTTCTATTCTATTTTTTTCTATTTCATGAGAATGAACTATTCTACGAGTAGTCCTTGCAGACAATTTTTGGGAAGCATGTTCGTTGAAATGAAAAAAAAAGATGAAGATAAAGAAAAGCGATGAATCACAAAAAAATCTATAAACAATACAAATCTGTGAATAGGGCATAAAAGACGGAACACCGGAATTTTCAGAGGAGGGATCAGGTGCCTAGGAGAAGTAAGCATCCCCTGTTGACCGGTCACACCCACCGGGAGCCCTATATACTAATCAGGTAGACAGAATATTCCGTAGTCAAATTTACTATAAATACAAAGATCTAACAATTGGTATGAAAACACATCAGTCAAAATACGACCTAATGATGGGCTGTATAAATTTTGTTAGCAAGGTCATTATAACGACCATAATGTGTACAAAAGGCTGATTTTAAACGAGGTTTTTGAAATCTCATCAACTTATCTGTCATTATTACTGCATTAATGATTATAGACAAAGAGAAGTAACTCCGTATTTTACTTACATGTATTTAAATAGAAAGTATTGTACTTTTCACATTGTTTTATCTGATATTTTATATTTTTTAGCATTTCAAGAACGTACATGTACCATATGCATGCAAAATGAAATATGTTTCTCTTTCAGAAAAACTCTATGTTAAGATGCTAGATGACAAACACTTGTATTCACATATATTTATTTACATTTGCAAATATTTTTCTTAGATGAACCTATTAAAGAGAAAATATGTTCAATTCTGTATGAACTTATTAGGGGGTCAGAGGTCATGGCGTGACCGAATCACACAGCGAGACGATATCTTGTCTACATATTCCTGTCACAGTGACACTGGTTTCGGAACTTCTAAGCGGTTAAAGTGATGAAAAAGATAAAATTATTGAAAAATATTTTTTTTTGTTCAACAAATGATCACTAGATCTTTCTTCGGTGTGAAGAATGTTTCTAATTAGCCTAAAATCACGCTTACCTTTTTAACCCGAAATTCTTTTGAAGATATGTAAACAGACGATAGCACCGCTTTTGACTTCATATATAAAGAACTCATACAATAATAGTAAGATTATTCTCAGTAGCGATCATTGTATTTTTTCATTATGAACAGATATTTCCTGAACTGGACTGCTGAACATCAATGTAAGTATTCAAATGTTGGAGCGAGGCGAACTCTCAAGACCAAACACCTTCTAGGTCATTGCGCGTCACAACATAGCAATACGGCGGGCCGTTCGTGTAATAAATGCAGTTCTATTCAGAAAATTCGTCTCAAATGTAAATAAAAGTAATAAACAACAATGTTAAAAAGTTCACTGGTAAATGAACTTGGTTGGTGCGTGATCAAATCTTCTGAGAAGCCCTTCGGACTTCACAGGATTTGATCACGTGACCAACCAAGTTCATTTCCCAGAGAACTTTTTAATATTGTTGTTTATTTCTTAATTTATCGATCATTATTCGATTGAATTTGATTAAGAACCAATAATACATTGTAATTTTATGCAATAAGAGTAATTCACCTTTTGATCAAATATAATATAACTTAAAAGCTTAAGTATATTACTCAATTTGGAATCAATTGAACAATTCTGAACATTTCAATAGGCCAAGATACATTTATATGTATTTTCCCAACTTAGAAAACCAATATTGATTTCTGTTCATATATATACTTTATTGTCTTTGAACATTTTTCCTTGGGTAAATGTCACATACCTGTCGTATATTGAAAATTTAAAATAGATAAGCTCAAATTATGTATTAATATTTTTATACAATATAATTTTCTCGATGTCCAAGAAAAATCCTTACCTTAGAGGGTTATTATTTTTGAAACATCGTGGATATTTTAAAACAAGAGGCCCATGGGCCACATCGCTCACCTGAGCACATTGGCTAGGCAAAAGCACAAATCAGTTCAGTATTGAAAAGATTACCCGGGGAGGGGGGGGGGCTTGAATTTTAAACTACCTGATGGTGCTTCCATGTCAATATAACAAATGGCTTTGTTGTACTTAAGAAGATTTTTAAAAAAAATTTCCCATATATTCCTTTGTAAAAATTTGATCCCCCATTGTGGTTCCTCCCTATCCCAGGGGTCATCATTTGAACTTGAATCTACACTACCTGAGGATGCTTCCATATCAATATGACTAAACATAGCTTTCCTGTTCTTGAGAAGAAATATTTTTTCTATATGTTCTTATGTAAAACTTTCGATACCCCCAATGGGCCCCACCATTGGGGGTCATCATTTGAACAAAATTTTATCTACACTACCTGAGGATGCTTCCATATCAAAATGACTAATCATGGTTTGCAGTTCTTCAGAAGAAGATATTTTCCTATATATTTCTATTTAAGACTTTGATCCTCCATTGTGGCCCCATCCTACCCACGGGGGTCATGATTTGAACATAATAGAATCTACACGACATGAGGATGCTTCCACATAAATATGATCAATCAGGGCTTTGCTGTTCCTGAGAAGAAGATTTTTAAAATTTTTCCTACACATTTCTATGTAAAACTTTGATCCTCCATTGTGGCCCCATCCTACCCCCGAGGGTCATGATCTGAATAAATTTGAATGTACCCTACCTGAGGATGCTTTCATATAAATATGAACAATCTGGGCTTTGCTGTTCCTGAGAAGAAGATTTTTCCTATATATTTCTATGTAAAATTTTGATTCTCCATTGTGGCCCCGCCCTACCCCCCGGGGGTCATGATTTGAAAAAACTTGAATCTACACTACCTGAAGATGCTTCCATATAAATATGACTCATCATGACTTTGCTGTTCTTGAGAAGAAGATTTTTTAAGATTTCTCCTATATATTTCTATGTAAAACTTTGATCCTCCATTGTGGCCCCATCCTACCCACGGGGGTCATGATTTGAACAAAATAGAATCTACACTACCTGAAGATGCTTCCATATAAATATGACTCATCATGACTTTGCTGTTCTTGAGAAGAAGATTTTTTAAGATTTCTCCTATATATTTCTATGTAAAACTTTGATCCTCCATTGTGGCCCCATCCTACCCACGGGGGTCATGATTTGAACAAAATAGAATCTACACTACCTGAGGATGCTTCCATATAAATATGACTCATCGTGGCTTTGCTGTGCTTGAGAAGAAAATTTTTAAAGATTTTTCCTATATATTTCTATGTAAAACTTTGATCCTCCATTGTGGCCACGCCCTACCCCCCGGGGGTCATGATTTGAACAAACTTGAATCTACACTACCTGAGAATGCTTCCATATCAATATGACTCATCATGACTTTATTGTTCCTGAGAAGAAGATTTTTAAAGATTTCTCCTATATATTTCTATGTAAAACTTTGATCCTCCATTGTGGCCCCGCCCTACCCCCAGGGGTCATGGTTTGAACAAAATATAATCTACACTACCTGAGGATGCTTCCATATAAATATGACTCATCATGGCTTTGCTGTTCTTGAGAAGAAGATTTTTAAAGGTTTTTCCTATATATTTCTATGTAAAACTTTGATCCTCCATTGTGGCCCCGCCCTACAACTGGGGGTTATGATTTGAAGAAACTTGAATGTACACTACCTGAAGATGCTTCCATATGAGTTTCATCTTTCCTGGCCCTATGGTTCTTGAGAAGAAGATTTTTAAATGATGCATATATTTTTTCACTAATTCTTAATTATCTCCCCTTGAAAGGGGGCGTGGCCCTTTATTTGAACAAACTTGAATCCCCTTTACCCAAGGATACTTTGTGGCAAGTTTGGTTGAAATTGGCCCAGTGGTTCTTGAGAAGAAGACGAAAATGTGAAAAGTTTACAACAACAACGACAACGACAACAACGACGACAGACAACGGACAAATTTTGATCAGAAAAGCTCACTTGAGCCTTTGGCTCAGGTGAGCTAATAAATTAGATCAATTCCCAAATTGCAAAATAACACATTTGTTTTAAGTAAATATGTATATAAACACCCATATGCTTAAACCTGCCAATTTAACCATCTTCAAATTAATTTCGTGTACATAAAATACCAAAATTGTTCGTTATATCAAAATCTTAGTTTATACTGGAAAAGCAATTTAATTTATAGTGCATACGTATAATCTAAGCTTTAAGTACAGCTAAATAATTTGGTAGAAATAGGCTAAAAAGCAATTATTGATACGCAATTTGCACTGGTATTTAAATTTAACAAATATTAATTAAAGAAAATCTAAAACATACATCCTTTACTTGAATTGTTCTTAATTTTACACTCTATATCCACTAAATAGCCATTGTTAACAATGCTCATCTACATAGAAAGAATAGTTATTTTTTCAATTTTAACCATGTTAACGGAAATAATGATTACACATATGATGTTCGTGAAAATGAAAGATTATTAGATAAGAAAAGAAGTTAGAGTATTCCTTGCATCGATATCATAAATGAAACAAACAAGTAGTGTGAGAGTCAATAAAAAGTGGTGGATGATTTAATTAATTCATTTATTTATTTTATTTTATTTTTAGTTGATATCAAATATTTCATTTCTTGCAGACTTGCAGAATGACAGACTTTAACTTTAAAACTATTTAAATGAATAAATAAATAAAAACCGGTTGCATTGTCTATTGATAAAAGTAACCGTTGGTCTGGGAATTTAAAAAAAAAAAAAAAAAAAAAAAAAAGATTCCCTAAAACTTTTTTTCCTGTGATGTATACAGTATATATTAATTACTATAATACCAAATTATATACAAAGAATGGAAATGCAATAGATCTGCTTACAATGCATCATCTGGAATTATAGGTTTTAAAATGCTTTTCAGTGCTTTGAAATCATCCCCTTGTCTATTTAACGTCGGATACCAGAGGAGTTTTGTGTGTGTGTGTGTGAGGGTGTGTGTATGTGTGTTCATTTTTTCCGTACTTGAAAACATATCGGCAATTACCGATACCGTATTTTCACAACGTCAGATTTGAATTCCAGTTCCAATGCGACTCATGACCCCAATGTGATGTCGAATCGAAGAACAAAATATAGTTACGTTGTTCATACAACGACTCAATTTCTTATTTTTTTTCTATACAAAAAGGGAAATTTAATCTTAAAAATAATCGTTTCCTCATCAGGCGAGTTATCTACTCCATATCAGAAGATAGACTTTTCCTCTTTCCGTCCTTGTCAACTGTTTTGACTCTTTACTTCCTACATGATATTGTATAACTTTTTGTTTGCTGTTTCTTATTAAGAAGGTAAGATTTTTTACAGAAAATAACACACAAAATCATTACTTGTGTAGTGTTGTTTTGTTAAAAAAAATCATCTCAAGAAAGAACATAAATCTTCTAAATCTTCCACCATTTATTACAGTGATTGAATTTATTCTGTTGTGTTTATGTTAAACCACCAAAAAGCAAAGTAGTATCAAAGCTCTTACCCAAACCATTCGGTTTCTAATTGTATAATATTTTTAACTGTGAATTTAGAACATATATATATCTTTTTTAATCTTGTAATATTGTGTAAATTGATGTTGCTAAATATTTGTGCTACACACAGAAAAGGTTGATATATACAAACAAGCCACGTTTTGCTTATGTTCTTTTTTTTTCTTTTTACTGCCTCCCGGTAAATTCAAACATTAGATCATGACATCGCCTATAGAGGGAGAAATTCCTTAATTCATCATAACTGACTTTTGTAAAAATCCCGATACAGTCATGTAACTGAGGGACTTCTAGCTTTTGAATCATTCACGTTACTATTTTTTTTTTTTCAGAAAATTTTATTCTGTCACGAGAACGTGTAAGGTGCTCGTCATGATTCTGGAAAACAGAGATCCCCGAAGCATAATCGGTGAACAAGCCGTAAGTTTGTGCACACGTCAAACAAAAACTCTCTCTCTCTCTCTCTCTCTCTCTCTCTCTCTCTCTCTCGAGAGAGAGAGAGAGAGAGAATATCCTGTGTACACTGATATTTTAAAATTCCTGGTATTAGCATTAAATATTTTTTCCTGACATTTTACCACTTATATTTGTATTTTATAGGGTATTCGATTCAATCAAATTATTGCGGAACCAAAAGTACTAAAGAGCCATTCATTGTACTGGTATTCCAGCACGATCTGCTATGAAAGATGGCGCCTGTTTGTTTACCAATGTCTGAGCTGTCTCACCGGACCATGTATTGCAAATTCTGTGGCGTCATCCATTGGAGGTCTCATGTTTACCGTTATTTGGATAATTACACCAACAAATCGATTGTGTAAAAAGTGTGCCGGTGGGTGCGAAGACACATTAAAGCCCGGAATTCATGGCTGTTGTCCTTTTGGTAAACTATTCAAGAAGTGCAAGAAAGTCAAAAATACTGTTGATGGTGGATCTATCGATAACCTTGGAATATTGTCTATTTAGGCCGCCAAAATATAAATATTATTAATTGAGATTGAAGATCGTAGAATGCAATGTGTATATGCTTGAATAGGCGGCTTGTGAATGTTACTATGAGAAAGTAGTCTGAAAACGTGTCACTTTTTCGAAAATGTTTCCTTCTACGACGTTTGTGTATACCAAATTTAAAAAAATCTGTTCACATCACTAAAACAGCCACTATCATATAGCTTTTTATTGTTCATTTTAACTGAATGTTAAGTAATGTTCTGACAGACAATAAAAATAGAAAGCAGACTGTGATTACCGAGTAATTTTTAATTGGAATATGAGTAATTAGGACTCTAGTTAACTTTAATTCAAACAATCTATCGGTGGTATCTTTAGACAGAATTGTAACTTTCCCTTGCATGTTTATTTTTTTTCCCAGCATCACATCTGAAGAATAAACTTAATGGAAGGGCTTAAATGTATAGGTTTTACCCCTTGCCTTAGTCCAATTAAAATAATTATAATGTTATAATGTTTATGTCTTTGTTATATGTATTCCATATCTCTCTCTCTCTCTCTCTCTCTCATTATCCCTCTCTGTCTCATTCTCTCTCTCTCTCTCTCTCTCACATTCTCTCTCTCTAATTCTCTCCCTCTCTCTCTCTCATTCTCTCTCTCTCTCTCTCTCTCTCTGAACATTGAATTGTAGAATTATATCAATGTTTGTATTTGAGTTTTAGTTCTCCATGCAGCTAAGTTAAAATTGAAAATAAAACAAATTCTAAGGGACGAGATTAAAAAGTTGTCTTAAAAAATCAAATATTTAAGGGGTGGTGGTATTCAGGAAAGCGTCTCCAATTTTGTAGCTGTTGTCCAACAACGTTTATTTTCACAAAAGGGTATTTTGTACTTGCCGGTTTATTTAATTAGGTCTTTCCACCTTTCTGTGGAAAGACCTATTAATTTTCTTCTGTTTATTAGGTCTTTCCACCTTTCTGTGGAAAGACCTCTTGAAATGCTTATGTTTATTATTATTATTATTAGGTCTTTCCACCTTTCTGTGGAAAGACCTCTTGAAATGCTTATGTTTATTATTATTAGGTCTTTCCACCTTTCTGTGGAAAGACCTCTTGAAATGCTTATGTTTATTATTATTATTATTATTATTCTTTTTCTTCCCGGACTTTTGAAACCGCAAGACTTATCGAAAAACTTTATAGTTCATGATGCTGGACATTAAAAGTTATTTCGAAAAACGACCCCCCGTGTTTGACCCATGACCTCTTATGAAGTTATTGCCCCTTTCGCAAGAATAGCCTGTTATCGCTACTCCTTCGAAACCATAAACCATAGAGTTACAGAACCTTCACCAATGTTTTCGACTACTCGAGAGGACTTTTCAATCTTTTCATTGCGAAACGATTTGTCGAGCCCTTTAATAAATTACTGCCCCTGAGAGTTTTTGATGTTTACGAATGATGACAAAATTCTCTAAACGATAAGTCGTAAAGACATGGGACCAACTGCATTAGATTTTGTGACCTCTGACCTTGAAATTTTTGTGAAGGTCAAAGGTCAAGGTCATTCAAAATATGAGAAAGTTAGCTTTTTTAATATCTCTTTTGTCTTTCAACATATACTGAATATCTTTGCATCTATAATATGTCCTTCTAAAACTATTTCAAAGATTTCATTCTTGTCCCCCGAGCTTGACCCATTCAAAAGTTGTCACCCCTTTTGCAACAAAACCTTGTTATCGCTACTCCTCCGAAAGCGTAAACCGTAGAGATTCCAAACCTTCATCAGTGTCTTTGACCCATTTAGTACTCTCTTCATTCTATCACTGCGAAAGCATTCTTTGGTCCCTTGTATGAGTTACTGCCCCTGAAAGTTTACGCTACTTACAATTAATGAACTTATTTTTAAAACGGTGTATCCTAGAGACATGGGACCAACTGCATCGGCATATTTGACCTTTGACCTTGAAATATAGGTCAAGGTCAAAGGTCAAGGTCATTTAAAAACATGAAAAATCCCTCATATATGTGTAAAATATAGCAATTCACCAAATGACCTTGAACTTTGACCTTGAACTTTGACCTTGACATTGGGTCAAATAGAAAAGTTAGGACATGCATCCAGCTCCAGTATCAGGTAAAAATACAGAAAGTAAAGATTTCTTGTTGTTTTTGTTTTTTTAATGACCTTGACCTTTGACCTTGACCTTTGACCTTGACTCAAAGGTCACAATAAGGCTTAAGCATGTGGAAGTAGTTACAATTCTTAGTTTAAAAGAGGCATAAAATAAATAATTCACCCCCCCTTTTAAAAAAAAAAAAAAATAATCACATCAACAACAATGTAGAATATTACTCTAGAATTCAAACCAGACCTCGGATCGACACCATATTTGGTACAAATGTAGTATAGACCTCAGAGAAACTTTCTGGAGAGTTTTACGGTGAGTCTTATAAGTTTATAGAAGTCGGAAGTTTCACGGCAAAAACTACAAGTTCTGTTGTGTTTGAAATTTAAGTGCAGGTGAACGAAGAAGTGATCTAAACCTTTTATCGGCTATTTCTTCAGATGTCGTTAGTAGCATTCGATTCTCCTGATATGATACGACATTTTAACACCAAGCATTCTCTCTTTCTCTTACATTTGGAATTTATTTGATTTTTATTTAGAATTAATCAGTTTCCAGAAATAGCGATTTTCGGTAGATTAAAAACAATTCTCGCTTTCATTGTCGTCTTTCTCTTCTAAAAATGCATGTTGGGAGTTTAATTTGTGATATACATATTTAATTTAACCCAAAGAAATGCTTATTTAAATGTTTCATATTTATTTTAGGATATTCAGTCAGAAATGTTAAAATCCGAACCCGATCTTTTAAGCTTACAAGAAAGCTATTTACAAAAAATTCAACATGCGCACAATATCGATGAATCGGGCTACAGTCCATTAATACATTTTCCTTAGGGAACAGTATTAACGTTTTCTCACGCAGCCCGTCCCTTATTATTTTATATACTGCTTGCAAATTCAGGAACTATTTCCTTTTACGGAACTTCTTTCTTCCCCTACCGATTCCAAAAATACGCTTGCATTTCTTCTATAGTCTTAAACAATTAACTTACGTATGTTATCGGAATGCGTGGCCGAATGGTTAGCGCACCTGCCTTTCAACCCAAGGGTTTTGAGTTCGAGCCCAGCTGGAGGAGCAATTTTTTTTTTTTTTTTTTTTTTTTGGTGCATATTTTGCATTTTTCTCCTTTTTTTTCAACCCAAATGACACGGAAACACTTAAAAAGGTGGAAAGGCCTCTAATTCTTCTCTGAACAATTAGTCTCCTAGTTATTAGGTCTTTCCACCTTTCTGTGGAAAGACCTATTGAAATTGTTCTGTTTATTATTATTATTATTATTTTTCCGCCGAATGGTTTTTTGTTTCAAAAGTTATCGAAAAGATTTATAGTCCATAAGAATGTACTTCGTAAAAGATTTTTGCAGTTGACCCTGCGTATATGAACTTTGACCTCTTAAGGAGTTACAACCCCTTTCGCAATAAAACCTTGTTATCGCTACTCCTTCAAAACCGTAAACCATAGAGGTACAGAACCTTCACCAATGTCTTCGACTAACTGAGGGGACTCTTCAATCTTTTCATTGCGAAAGTATTCGTGGAGCCCTTTTATGAGTTATTGCCCCTGAAAGTTTTTGATGTGTACGAATAATTAAAAATTTTCAAAACGATAAGTCGTAGAGACATGGGACCAATTGCATTAGATTCACTGACCTTTGACCTTAAAATATATGCAAAGGTCAAAGGTCAAGGTCATTCAAAATGTGAGAAATTAAGCTCTTTTTATATCTCTTTTGTCTTTCAACATATACTAAATACCTTTGCATCATTAATATGTCCTCTTAAAACTATTTCAAAGATTTCATACTTGTCCCCTAAGATTTACCCCTTTAAAAGTTATTGCCCCTTTTACTGAAAACCTTGTTATCGCTACTCCTCTGGAACCATAAACCGTAGAGACACAAAACCTTCACTAATGTCTTCAGGGTCTTTAGACACAACTTCAATCTATACAGTGCGAAAGTATCTGATGACCCCTTATATGAGTTATCGCCCTTTAACGTCTTTGCGCTTACTATTAAACCTTATAACTTTAAAACTAAAAGTCGTAAAAGCATGGGGTCAAGTGCAATGTGACCCTTGACCTTTGACCTTGAATATTTATTCAAGGTCAAAGGTCAAGGTCATTTCAAAATTTTTAAAATTTTCATTTTTTCCATCTCTCAAGCCATTTCTGGATTCTCTTTGTATGAAAATTATCTTTAGAGAGTAAAATATGAAAAATATATGAAATTTAAAGAAGGTGGAAAGACCTCTAATTGTTCGAGAACAATTAGTCTCCTAGTTATTATTCTTCTTTTTCTTCCCGGACTTTTGAAACCGCAAGACTTATCAAAAAACTTTATAGTTCATGATACTGGATATCAAAAGTTATTCCGAAAAACGACCCCCCATGTTTGATCTATGACCTCTTACAAAGTTATTGCCCCTTTCGCAAGAATAGCTTGTTATCGCTACTCCTTTGAAACCGTAAACCGTAGAGGTATGGAATCTTCACAAATGTCTTCGTCTAATTGAGGGGACTCTTCAATCTTTTCATTGCGAAAGTATTCGTCAACCCCTTTTATGAGTTATTGCCCCTGAAAGTTTTTGTTGTTTACGAATAATTAAAAATTTTCAAAACGATAAGTCGTAGAGACATGGGACCAACTGCATAAGATTCATTGACCTTTGACCTTAAAATATATGCAAAGGTCAAAGGTCAAGGTTATTCAAAATATGAGAAATTAAGCTGTTTTTATATCTCTTTTATCTTTCAACATATACTAAACATCTTTGCATCATTAATATGTCCTCTTAAAACTATTTCAAAGATTTCATACTTGTCCCCTAAGATTTACTCCTTTAAAAGTTATTGCCCCTTTTACTGAAAACCTTGTTATCGCTACTCCTCCAAAACCGTAAACTGTAGAGGCACAAAACCTTCACTAATGTCTTCAGGATCTTTAGATACAACTTCAATCTATTCGGTGCAAAAGTATCCGATGACCCCTTATATGAGTTATCGCCCTTTAACATCTTTGCGCTTACTATTAAACCTTATAACTTTAAAACTAAAAGTCGTAGAAGCATGGGGTCAAGTGCAATGTGACCCTTGACCTTTGACCTTGAAAATTTGTCAAGGTCAAAGGTCAAGGTCATTTCAAAATTTTGAAAATTTTCATTTT